CCTGCCCGGCCCCTGCCACTCCCCGGCCCAGCAGCCCGGCCTCCGGGCTCCGCCTGCTGGCAGCTCCTTCCTCCCCTCAGGCGCCGAGCCCCTCCTCCGCGCCCCGCGGAGCTCTGCTGACACAGCCCTGCCCGTCCTTGAGTTGCCCCAGCCAGAAGAGGGGCCCTGAGCGCGGCCAGAGTGGGTGCCTTCCCCACGTGGGGGCGGGGTAGCGCCCGGCAGTCCGGGGCCTGCCCCTGCGAGGGCGATGCCAGAGTGCAGTGGGGAGGGTGCAGTCCCCCACAGGGCCGGGGCTAGGAGGAAGAGCTCCTGTCGGGGGAGAAGGCACAGGCCCCCTTCTTTTCGGCCCCCTCTGCCTCACTCTAGACTTGCCTTCCCTGCCTGGCCCCGCCCCTTTCTGGAAGACAAAAAGGCCCCAAGTCTCCGTCTGTCTGGTCCGGGCACTTTTGGAGAGGAGGACCGGCCTGCCGGAGGAGCTGTCCCAGCCAGGGAGGTCAGGCCTCCTCAGGCCCCGCTCACACTCCAGACCCAGCTGAGGCCTCCTTTCCGGGACGGCTGTCCTCGCCGGAGAGCAGCCTGGGAGTCAGACTGCCAGGTTCTGTCCTCTGCCTGCTCCCGCCCGGCTCCGGCTCCGGGCAGGTCGCTCCGCTCCGCAGCCAGCGGGGTGGTACTGCTGCTACCTGCAGACCTGCCCGGCGCAGGCACAGTGGTAGTCTCCTTGGCCCGGCTGGGCTGCCGACCGCTGAGACCGCCACAGACCTCCTTCTTGCTCTGGTCCCCTTTGGGGTGTCTAGACTGGTCTGGAAGATGCGACCCCTCCTCAGTGCTGAAACCGTCTGACTGGTGACTGTCTCCCTCCCCCAGGGCTGGCCCTGCTGGGCTTCCTGGTGCTGCTGCCAATGACCATTCCCTGGGGCCAGCTGGGCAAAGACTGCTGGCTGGGGGGCACCCACTGCGTGGCCTGCCTGGCACCTCCTGCAGGCTCGGTACTCTATCACCTCTTCATGTGCCACCAAGGAGGCAGCCCTGTGTACTCCCGGCTCCTGGCCCTGGATATGTGTGGGGTCTGCCTTGTCAACACCCTCGGTGAGACAGGACCCCGGGGGTGGGCGCTGGGGGCCGGGAGGGGGGCAGGGCACGCCTGGAGACCCCTGGGTGGGGCAGGGCAGCCAGCCCCTCAGGCTGACCGCCTTCTTGCTCTGTCCTGTGCAGGCGCCCTGCCCATCATCCACTGCACCCTGGCCTGCAGGCCCTGGCTGCGCCCGGCAGCCCTGCTGGGCTACACCGTGCTGTCGGGCGTAGCTGGCTGGCGCGCCCTCACTGCCCCCTCCACCAGTGCCCGTCTCCGAGCCTTTGGTTGGCAAGCTGGTGCCCGCCTGCTGGTCTTCGGGGCCCGGGGAGTGGGGCTGGGCTCCGGGGCCCCAGGTGCCCTGCCTTGCTACCTGCGCATGGACGCACTGGCGCTGCTCGGGGGACTGGTGAATGTGGCCCGCCTGCCCGAGCGCTGGGGACCAGGCCGCTTCGACTACTGGGGCAACTCCCACCAGATCATGCACCTGCTCAGCGTGGGCTCCATCCTCCAGCTGCACGCAGGCGTTGTGCCGGACCTGCTCTGGGCCGCCCGGCATGCCTGTCCCCCGGACTGAGCTGCCCTGCCCGCCATGCTGGCCAGCCTGCCACCTCTGGAAACAAGCACCACGCTTCCCTCCTCCTGCGGGTCTGCAAGTCTGGCTCCCTGGACCATCCAGCACATCGGACACCCTCTAGCAGCCTCGTCCTTCATCCACTCCTTCCTGTGGACTCTGCTTCTGCTGCCCCCGCCTCAAGTTCCAGCTCCCTTCTGCCTTCTCCAGGACCATTTTGCTGCATCAGCTAGAAGAAGACGTTTCCCTCTCTGAGCCTCACTTTACCCTCTGTGACCTGTAATGATGGTTTAGGCCAAGACTCTGGGTCACATCTTGCTCTGACAGTTCTGCCGGCCTGAAGCCATCACCCCACCCTGCCCTCATGGCCTCTCCCAAGCTCCTCCTGGGCACCTGGACCAGCCCTCCAGCCCACGTTTCCCAACTCTATCATTTAACAATTTTTTTGGCCAGAGGGTGTATACACTCGCCAGAGAGACCAAGAGATGGGAGAGAGAAAGCACCCCGAGTGAGTGTGGCCACGACACGGTCCCTTCTTCATTCTCCTTCCAGTCCAGATTCAGAGCACGCACGCACACACACCCGGTGTTTCTCAAGCCGCTGGATCTGGGACTTGGGCCGACTGGCCATGTGGAATCACTCCCTTAACTACCATGCCATAGGGCACCCCGACTCCCTCTCTCTGCCCTGCATGCCAGCCCTCCCAACAGCTAGAAGCTCACCCACCCTTCTCCCATCTGTCCACAGACATGGAAGAAGGGGTTCAGGGCACAGGACTAGCCCCTTCTCCCAAGAACAAGTGGGCACTGACCCTTCTTGTGCCAGCTGGCCAGAGGGCATGAGGCTGCTGCTGCGCTCTCTAGACCACTGGCTCAGATGTAGAGTTCGGCAGCCCTGGCTGCAGGCCCCACTACATCGTGGGCCCGCCCTCCCTCCTGACTGGCATACTGTGCCCACCCGGGAAGGCTCTGTGCCCCACACAGCATGTGGCTCCAGTCCGCTGGACCAAGGCCCAGGTCCGCAGCAGGGCTCACTCAGGGCCATCCCAGGGCCTGAGCCCCTGGACGACATCAATAAAGGGATGGGAAGCACAGAGTTGCCACGTGAGCAGGCTTGGGTGCTCCCAAGTTCCAAGTACCTTTTATTAGACAAGGCCAGGCAGAGGGGACCATGAGAACTCCCAGAGGGACCCCAGCTTTCGAGGGGGCGGGAGGGAAAGGAATAAAAGGTTAAAACCACTGAAGCCTGGGGCTCAGACTGGGTCCAGTGAGTCCTCAAACAGGCTGAGGAGGTTCCGCGGCTCAAAGGAGGGGCAGGAGCCCTGAGGAGGCGCTGTGTCCACGTCACTGAGGCCTAGGGCGTCACTGGGGGGAAATGGAGGTGCTCAGGGCCTAAAAGCCAGCCCCGTGGCCCCGGCTCCCAGCCCACTCACCTTCGTGTGCACCTGCTCTGCGGGGTGGAGGTGCTCCCCCGGGCCCGAGCCAGCATGGCCTCTGGGGAAAAGCAGGGCCTGCAGGAGGGAGGCAAAGCAGGTAGGGTGCTGGGAGTGGTGCAGGACAAGACCAGCTAATCCCCACTCAGGACCTAGGCGCGGCCTGCCAAGGGGCAGGGAGCCCCAGCCAGAGACAGTAAAAATGGTGCACTTCGACAGAAGCACTTTTGTAACCTTGTGAGTCCTTCCACTTGACTGTGCTCAGGACACTGGGCTTCGACCCAGCCGGTTTCAAGAGTACTATGGCACTTGGTATCTTCTGCAAAGTGCCCCCAGAGTGATGGGTGACATTTTTGAAAGAAAGGGTTAATGGTGGTGTCCCCTGAGAGCTGTCTGCCGACACGTGGTTTCCTCTGCAGCAGTTTCTGAATTAATTACAGCCTCTTCCTTGGCCACCAGCATCTGGGACTAAGGACTTCCTCCCCAGCGGGGGTTCGCCAGGCTCTAGGACACTCCCTCCCTGAGTAGGGATGGTGCCTTATCCCTGGCCACCAGCAGCCTGTAGGGGTGGAGGCTACATGGCCTGCCAGGCACACTCTGTGTGAAAGCGCCCTGCACGTGACGCTGTGTGTGAGCCAGGGTCAGGAGAAACGCCGTGCTCTGAGCAGGCAGGCTACACCTCTGCAGGCCAGGTTCCCTTTCCCCCTTCCAGGGCTGCAGGGTGGGGGATAGGCTCTGGGAGGGGTCCACACTCACCCCACTGTGCTGTCATCACCCCAGTTGCTGGAGAGGCTGCTGTCCAGGAGGCTGCATGGTGGCGATCCAGGCGGGGTGACTGGCGGGCCTGGGGGCCGCAGCCAGCTGGCGGGCTGTGCCAGCCCACGCCAGAGCCAGCATAGCAGGGCCAGCAGGGCCTGTGGGGACAGGAGGCCTCAGGAGGCAAGGCAGGGCCACAGGCCTGGGGCAGGACAGATAGCCGGGCATGGTGGGATCTTACCTGCCACAGGGCCCATGTGCGACTCGAGGCCTCCGCGGCTATGTAGCACAGGGCGCCCCAGGGCCGTGGGCGCCTGAGCATGGGCAGGGCCAGCAAGGCCTCAACCGTGGCCCGCAGTTTGGGGTCGGGATCCAGCATCATGACCAGGACAGAGCGCAGCTCGGGAGAAAGACCTGTCCACGAGGTGGAGCAGTGCAGGTGGTCAGGGGTCAGGGCTCCCAGAACGTAGACTGGGCCCTGCCGCCAGCCACTCCCCAGTGGGGCTGGCAGCCCGGCCCTCCTGTGTCACCCACTCACCAGCAGTGAACTCAGGGGGCAGGTAGCCCCGGCGCAGCTGCTGCCAGCCCTCCCCGCCGCGGGGCAGCTCCATGTTGCACGCCACCTCCAGAACGGTGAGGCCCAGACTGGGGGGACAGAGCAGGGCTGGCCTCGGGACACAGACCTGCCAGGCTGCCCTTGGAGCAGGGCTCCAAGGAGGCCCCAGAAGGACCCGTGACATGCCTTGGCAGGATGGGGTGTGGGCCCATGCCAACAGAGTCTACGTGCTACCCCGTGGGTGATGGGTCTTCCCAACAGCCCGCTGGACAGGTACCATGTGACTCTGGGCATTACTGTCACTGTCATCATCTGCTGAGAATGAGCAGATGCGACTGCTGAGGGCAGGGCCATGTGGGTGAGGGCCCGGCCGTCTACACTCCCTGCTGACTGCGGGCTCCCCCCCACTGTTGAGCTGTGAGGAGACAGGCTAACTGGTGTAAAGCGCACCTGAGGGCTCCTGCCCTAGAGGAAGCCTGACCCCAGAGACCCCCCACCCCCCAGCTAGAGAGCAGAAGCGGCACCTCCCTGGCCTAAGGCCCAGACGGAGCCTCCTTCCTGGTGAGCCCCGCTCTCTGACCATCCCCAACCCACCCCTCCGCAGTGCAGGCCTCACCTGAACACGTCTGCTGCTGTCCCGTAGGAGCCCTGCAGCAGCTCAGGGGCCATGTAGCGGGGGTCTCCCTCCTGGGCCTCGCTGGCTCCGGCCCCCCCCAGCTCAACCAGCAGCCCAAAGTCACCTAGCTTGCAGCGGCCCCGGGGCCCCAGGAAGATGTTGGCGGGCTTGACGTCCAGGTGGACTAGGCCTTGGCTGTGCAGGTGGGCCAGGGCCAGCAAGGTGTCGCGCAGGTAGCCCCAGACCTGGGCTTCAGGCAGGCTGGTGCCCCGGGCCTCACAGTGCTGCTGTAGGCTGGGCCCACACAGCTCCGTCTGCAGGTACAAGAGGCCGCCCTCTTCCCAGGCCTGCTCCAGCCGCACACAGCGTGGGTGCCGGCCCACCTTCTCATGGCCACCCACTTCCGCCAGCTTGCGAGCCCGGTCCTTGGGGCCCCGGAATGGCGACATAGAACGCTTTACTGCATAAAGCCGGCCGTCATCCTTGGAGCGCACCTGGAAGAGAAAGGGGGCCCACAGGCCCCGGGGTGGGCTGGACCACCAGGGCTTGACCATTTGCTGGGGGCCCACAAGACTCTGTGGAGGGTGTGCACAGCTGGCATGTCTTAGACTCATGTGCTGCCGTAGCAAAGCTGGGCCAGGCCAACCCACAGGGGCTGGCAGCAGAGACGCTGGATGGGAGACAGCCTGTACATGGTGCTAAGGGAAGCTGGCTCAGCATGGAGGCGGCAGGCTGTGTAAACGGGCTCTCTGGAAGCACGTGCCCCAGGGGCCTGTGCTGGTTATACTTTTGAACAAATTGTCTTCTGACCCTGGAGACCCTCACCCCCAACTAGAGAGCAGGAGCGGCACCTCGAACAGTATTCGTTCAAGAGAAAACTACTATTTTAAAGAAAATACAAATGGTCAGAAAATATAGGAAACAGAGGTGGCAGGCAGAGGCAGCCTGTGGCCTCCAGCCAGGGTGGCGTGTGAGTTGGCAGAACCTGCCCAGGACCCCAGCAGAACTGGTTCCAGGGCAGGAGAAGGCAGCCGGAATGCCATTCAGGGGCCACTATGCACAGGGGCAGCCTGGAGGGGCCTGAGAGGGGGAACTGCTGGCCCAGGAAAGGGGCTGTGGGGCAGACAGGCTGCTCAGAGCACTGCTGTCCAGGGCAGGGAGTGTGGCCAGGCCTAGGAAGCTGCCCCTCACTCACCTTGAAGACCTCTCCGTAGGAGCCACGGCCAAGGCGGCTGAGCCTCTGGAAGCGCTGCTGGAAGAAAGATTCTGGCCGGCGTGGGTCGTACCCGGGGCTCTGCATGGCCTCAGAGGCCTTGCCTAGGAATGACACCTTGCGGGGCAGGGGCTGGTGCCAGCCTGGGGTCCGAGGAGGGAAGAGACGGCTGATGGGGATGCTGCCCTTGGCAGGGGGCCGGGGTGGGAGGCTCTGGCTGAGCCCCCTGGGCTTCTTGAGGGAGAAGCCAGGTTCTGCATGGTGGAAGTAGGCCGGGACAGGGACTGGGGTGCCACTCAGGGGTGGTGGGGTACTCTCTGTAGGCACGGGCATGGCCAGTACGAGAGGCTCCGGGGCAGAGACGGAGGCTGGGCAGTGCGTCCTCTTAAACGGTACCCAGCTGTCTGGCTCCCAAGAGGCTGCACAAGACGGCTGTGTCCACACCGCACCGGCGCTGGGCTGTGCACATGAAAGCCGTGGGGCAGCAAGCACCTGCTGGGAAGAGGCAGGGACAGACACTCAGAGCCCTGCAGGCAGGACATCCGCTTGTGGCAGAGACCATGTGGAAACCCCGGGGCCCATCCTCGAGAGCGCCCAGTTCAGGAGAGAAGCAAAACCCAAGGTGGGTTCTGTGCCCGTGGGGACGCCCCACCTCTGTGCAGCCCCTTCCCAGACCATAAGAGACACAGGAGCTAGGCCCTGTCCCTCGTCTCCAATTCCAAGCCAAAATCTCTGAATTCCAAAAGCTGCGTTCTTTCTTTTTCACAGTTGGGATGCCAGACTTGCTCCGGTCGCAGTCGCCCCGTACAGAATGGTGGCGAGGAGCCCTGTGCTCTCCCCAGGACTGGTGGAGATGACGCACGATCCAGCAGTTAAAGCGTCTGGACATGCTCATCAGGGCACACAGCATGCCAAGGAGGGTCCCAACTTGGCGACAGGATGCCACTCCCCCACTGCGCTGCGGCAGGTTCGCCAAGAGGGTGGGCTTCTCCCCCTTCCCAGAGGGCAGGCTGTCCGCATGCCGCACCCAGCTGTCTCCACAGCACAGCACGTGCAGGAGGACGGCCATGCCCCATACGGGTACTTTCTTTTTCCCTTTATCTCTCTGCCTGCCCTCTGGAAAACTTTCTAAAAACTGGGGCCAGCAGGCATGACGGTTAAGGCTCTGGACTCTCAAATGTGCTTCAAGTCCCAGACCTAGCAGCTTCCTTTCTCATCCCCTCCAACCTTGGTCAAATTTAAAAAATAATTATAATAATACATTAAATACTTCTTTAAACAACAACTGGTTGAGTATTTGGTGGCAAGTGATTAAGAAAAGGCTGGTCCCCTGTTAGAGCAATGAACCACCCTTAAGCAGCTTATACCCAGAGAACTGGAGAAAGGACAGCGAGGCAGTACTGTTGTCAGGACAAACTTTCAACACAGGCCTCAAAAGCAACCTGAGGGACCAGCAGTTAGCGTAATGGCTATGTCGCTGGACTCCCACGTAGTTGACTGCAGTTTGAGTCCGGACCTGGTGGCTTAAACTCACACCGGGCACGTGTGCATGGGTGCCCAAGATCCTGAGAGGAGAACGGAGGAGAAGGGATTGCGGCATGGCCATCCCCCCTGAGGGGGTGATTTCTCACTTTCCGTCTCTCTGTCTCTCTCTGTCTTTCTGGCAAGCGCACATGCGCTATAGCAGAAAACTCTCAAAAAAAAAAAAAAAAAAAACCTGAGAGGAGTTCCCCAATTTTTAAATTAATTTTATCTCTTATTTTTTTTGGAGAGGTTTTTGCTATAGGGCGCATGCGCTCACCAGACAGACAGAGAAAGACAGAGAGATAGAAAGTGAGAAATCACCCCCTCAGGGGGGATGGCCATGCCGCAATCCCTTCTCCTCCATTCTCCTCTTGGGATCTTCGGCACGCACGCACACGCGCCCGGGGGGTATGACACGCCGCCGGGCCCGGGAATTTGAACCGCAGTCGACATAGGAGTCCAGTGACATAGCCATTATACTAACTGTTGGTCCCTTTATCTCATTTTTTTAATTAAAATTTTTTTAAAAGATTTTTGCTATAGGGCACGTGCGCTCACCAGAGACACAGAAAGTAAGAAACCACCCCCGGGGGGATGGCCACGCCGCAATCCCTTCTCCTCCGTTCTCCTCTCAGGATCTTGGGCACACGCGCACACACACCCAGCACGAGTTTTAAGCCACCGGGTCCGGGACTCAGACCGTGTTCAACTACGTGCCAATGCAGCTACATAGCCATTACGCCATCTGCTGGTCCCCATTAATTTATCTCTTCCATGAGAGGAGACTGAGAGGTGCATCCCCAACAGGGTCTTCACACCATGATCCTGCCCCCAGCCTTCACCTTAGCCAGCCAGGATATCAGGGGCACATGCTTTACCATGCATGTACAGGGAGGCCTTCCCACATGGCCTCCCCATGGCAGAGCGCCAATAGCACTGGGCCACCACGGCTGGCCAGAGGAGCCCAGATTCCCTTGAACTACTCTCCAGAACAATCTGTGCCCCTGGGTAATATTTAAAACAACAGGGACCAGCAGATGGCAAAATGGTTATCTCACTGGACTCCCACATGGCCAACCATGGTTCAAGTCCCAGACCCGGCAGCTTAAACTCGTGCCAGGCATGTGTGCATACATGTCAAAATCCAGAAAGGAGTGGGGACCAGCAGGTGGTGTGGTGGTTAAGGTGTTGGACACTCCCACATAGGTGACCACAGTTCAAGTCCCAGAGTGTTGGCTTGCTTTCTCACTTTCCCTCTTTCTCTCTCTGTGTCTCTCTCTGGTCAAATTAAAATGATTGAATGAATAAATAAAATTAAATAAATAATTCTAAAAAAATAAGTTCACAGAAAGTGAAATTATTAAAAAATATATCCAGAAAGGAGAATGGAGAAGGGATTGTGGTGTGGCCACACCCCCTGGGGGGTGATTTCTCACTTTCTGTCTCTCTGTCAAATACATGCACCCTATAATAAAAATCTCTCTCCAAATAAATAAAATGACAGATGAGGGGCCAGCAGGTGGCATGGTAGTTAAGGTGCTGGACTCCCACATGGCCAACCAGAGTTTGAGCTTCAGACCTGGTAGCTTGCTTTCTCAACCCCTCCCACCCCCATGTCTTTCTCTGGTGAGTACATATACCTCATAGCAACTTTAAAAATAATAATAAAATTAAGTAAATAATTCTAAAAAATGAAAATTAAAAAAAAAAAAAAGCAACTAGCCCTCAACTAGCAGAACCTATTAGCTGGGGATAATTGGGAAGGACAGTCAGAGGGAGCCCCCCTAAAATTACATTGTCCCAGGGTGACTATACACATACCCAAGCTAGACCCTCAAGAGTGACCTCAGAGGCTTCATGGTGCAGACAACAACATCACTCTGTTACTACAGCCAGTAACAACCAGTGACCAAGCAACAGCCCCAACCCCACAGGAGGGCAGGAAACCAGGACCCACGGCTGCTACAAGCGAGCATATAAATGTCCAGTTTTTGCCAAAAATATACAAGGTATACAAAGACACAGGAGAGTGTGGCCTATACACAGGAAAACACACACGCACAGTACAATGCAAACCGCCTGTGAGAGGTCTCAAAGTCAGGGTCAGCAGAATCTGAAGCAGCTCAGAGAACTAAAGGAGACCATGCTTAAGGAAGCAGAGGGAGGGATAACATGATAGACTGCCAATACAGGTAGAAATTATGAAACGGCAACTGGAATTGTAGAGTTTAAAAGTGCAGGGAGTAGTAGGTGGCACGGCGGTTAAGAGCACTGGACACTCACGTGGCTGGCCACAGTTGGAGTTCCAGATCAAGTGGCTTGCTTCCTCTCTCTCTCTCTCTGTCCCTCCCTCACTGGTCAAATTTAAAATAAATAAATAAATAAAATAAAATAAAATAAAGTTTGGTGAAATAATTATTTAAAAAAAAAAAAAAGAGCAAACATTTTTTAAAAAGTTTAGAAGTGCGATAACATTTTAGTTAGGGACCAGCAGTTAGCATAATGGCTATGTCGCTGGACTCCACGTAGTCTCGGACCTGGTGGCTTAAACTCACACCAGGCCGTGTGCGTGCGTGCCCAAGATCCCGAGAGGAGAATGGAGGAGAAGGGATTGCGGTGTGGCCATCCCTCCTGAGGGGTGATTTCTCGCTTTCTGTCTGTCTCTCTGTCTGGCGAGCACACGCACCCTATGGCAAAAAACTTTTAAAAATAAAAATTTTAGTTAAATTTCAACAGAGAATTTGGACAGTAAATTTGAACTGGCAGAAGAAATAGTGAATTTAAGGACAGATCAATAGAGATTAGGCAATCTGAAGAACAGAGAGGGGAAAAAGGAATAATGAAAGGGAACAGAGCCTCCAAGACCTGTGGGACACACACCACGGAGGGCACCCCACACCTAGTGGGTAAAGGAGAGAAGGGAAAACATTTGAAGACATAATCTCTAAAAGTTTCCCAAACATATCCAAGAAGGACAAAGGACGAATGCAGCCATCAACAGACACGCATACGAAAAGTGCTAAAACCAGGACAGATGGAGGTGTGGTGGCTGGGGCAGCTATACCCCACCTGGCCAAGTCCCTGACTCAGCAGCTGGCTGGTTGCTCATCACTGCGGGCCCTATATATAAGGGGCTTCAGGA